GGCTCGAGCAGCCACTCCGCATGCCTGCCTCCGGAGACCCCCAGCCCCTCAGCCTCGGATGGCGGCTGCCCAGCTGCCCAGGGCCGCCCGAGGCTCAGGTAACCAGGGCCGGCCGAGGCTTGCGCTGCCGGCAGTGGCAGCAGCAGAGGTGTGATGGGACATCGCCTTCCCCTGATCATTGGGTCGCCTCCCACCCCTGAGGGCTCCCGGACTGTGAGAGGGGGTAGGCCAGGCTGAGGGACCCCTTCCAGTGCAGGAATTTTCATGCACCAGGCCTCTAGTAAAACATAAATGAAAACAAGCAGAAACAACACATAATAGTAACAGAACTAGAGTTTCTGATTCAAATTTTAAAATAATCATGCTTACTATGTCCAAGAAGATAAAAAAGCAAAAGTTACAATTTTGGAAGAAATCTCTAAACAATGAGGAATTCTAGAAGCAAAAATATAAGACCTCAATCAGTTAGTTTAATTACAAATTTCACATAACTGAAGAGAAAAGTAGTGAACTGGAAGATGGGGGCCATAAAATAATCTAGATTGAAGTATGAAAAATAAAAGATGAAAAATACAGAAAAAGGAAATAGGAGACAGAGGCTATAGAAAGAAGATCTAACAATATAACTACAGTTATATTATGGGGGGGACAGTGATAAATAGAGTAGTGCAACAGCAGTATTTGAAGATAAATGGCTGAGAACTTTACAAAGCTGATGATCTAAGAAGTTTAATAAAAAGAAAACTAAACCTTGGTTGACAATCAGGACATAGGGAAATATCAGTCAGAGGAAAAAAATAATCAGACTATCATTGTATGACCAATAGAAATGACAGTTGATTTTAGCAGAATACAACAAAAAAGGACAATGAAATAATATATCTAGAGTGCTTAAAAAAAAAAACCCTTGGTAATTGGAATTCAATACTAGAGATAAGTTAACCCATTTAGGTGAGATAAAGAAAATTTTAAAAAACCAGAAAGAGATTACTGGCCACCAGTAGATAGATCTTCACTAGAGAGAGAAATATGAAGTGTTCTTAGAATAAAGGGAAAGTGATCCCAGATGGACAGTCAGACACACAGGGAAAATGGAAAAAAGCAAAATGAATAGTGTAAATGGATAATGCTAATTTAATATCGAGTGTACAAAGCAGTACCTTGTTGGAGATAAATGTATAGAGAAATAAGATATATAACAAGAATGACATTATACACAGGGTGTGAGTTTTGTTGTTTTTGTTAATCCTCACCTGAGAATATTTTTTCCATTGATTTTTTTGGAGAGAGTGGAAGGGAGGGGAAAAGGGGGAGAGTGAAAGAAATATCAATGTCAGAGATATTTGCCTCCTGCATGTACCCTGACCAGAGCTGGTGATTGAACCTGCAACCATGTGCCCCCTTGACCAGAAATTGAATCCTCGACTGGAATTTGCAACCCTTTGGTGTGCAGGTCAACGCTCTAACCACTGAAAACACTGGTCAGGGACAGGGTAGGAGTTCTAAAAATAGAGTTAAAAATGTTCAAAAGGTATGTGCATATAATATTTTTTTAAAATATTTTTATTGATTTCAGAGAGGAAGGGAGAGGGAGAGAGAGAAGCATCAATGATGAGAGAGAATCATTGATTGGCTGCCTCTTGCACGCTCCCCACTGGGGATCAAGCTCACAACCTGGGCATGTGCCCTTGACTGGAATCGAACCCGGGACCCTTCCGTCCGCGGGCCAATGTTCTATCCACTGAGCCAAACCAGCCAGGGGTGTAATATTTTAATTGTAACCTCTAGGGTAATAATTAAAGGAGTAATCTATATATATAAGATCCTAATATGCAAACTGTCCCCGTGGGAGTTCAACCAGGAGATTGATCCCTTGCTATGATGTGTGCTGACCCCCATGGGGCAGCATGGAACGAAGGAAGGCCCCAGCCAGCAGCTGGCGGCCAGAGAAGGGAGGCCCCGGCCGGCAGCCAGAAGGCCCTGATTGGTCCTGATCGCCAACCAGGCCTAGGAACCTACCCGTGCACGAATTTCATGAACTGGGCCTCTAGTGAGTGTATAAACTCCAAGGAATGGGGGAAGAGGAAAATAAAAAATAATCAGGGAGAGAACCAAGATGGCGGCATAGGTAAACACCAGAGTTTGCTGCCTCGAACAACCACTTCAAAAATACAACTAAAAGACGGAAAGGACATCATCCAGAACCACAGGAAGGCTGGCTGAGTGGAAATTCTA